CGAGCACACCTGCTGCTGGGCCGGCCTCCCCCACTTCTGCCACAGCCGGGCTCTTAGACTTGCAGCTGCTCTAAAGCAGGGGTCCCCAGTGGTCCTCCGCGTCTCCCAGGAAACCCTAGCACCTTAGGCACTTTAGTGAAAACCCCAGAGCGTGTGGGGGAATTCACTGTATGCATGAAACATGACCTCCGACCTTCAGGGCTCTCCAGTCTAAAGTTAAACCTCTTCTGAGCCTTGTGTGTCCCTGGGGCAGGCCCTGTGCCAGGTGTCTGTCTCGGACATGAATAGGCCCTGCAGGGCGGCAGGTGGCAGTGGCCGAGAGCCCCGCTCTTCCTAGCTGCCTGAGCCTGAGTCTGGGGTTCCTGGTGAGGCCAGTGAAGCCAGGCTTTGGGGTGGGGGTGGGGCGCAGAGTGTGCGCATGTGCGCGTGCACATGAAACAAGACACTGGTGGTTGTGGGGCAGGGCCCCCCTCGTTCCTCTTCAGTTCAGCATTCTGTTTTTCTCAAGCCTCACAGAGCTCCACAGAGAAGGGTAAGAAGACAGCAAGCAACTGGCAGAGTGACGGGCCCCAGGTCCACTGCAGCAAAGCCAGACCCTGGGTTCCCATGTTCTCCTTTGTGTCCCCCTGCCCTGGAGTCCCGCCCCCTCCTGTCCACTCCAGGTCCTGGCCCAGCAGGCCTTCCTCACTCCCAGCCAGTCCACTGTGTCAGCCTCACCCCTGGTGTCCCCGCAGCCACCACTAGGAAGTGACTGCTCTACTCTAGGGACGCAGAAGGGCAAGATAGGGCCGCTGCCTTCAGAGAGGAGACAGCCCCAAAGATACGCTGCTGGTAAACTAACTGCAGCGAAGTTATAGCAGCCTCAAGCGGCTCAAGCGGCCGCGGAGGGCCCAGGTGGCTAGGAAACGCCCCCTGGGTAAGGGACACTTGAGCAGGAAGTGAATGAACTGAGGGAAAGACCCACGTAAACACCTCGGGAAGGGTGCCGGGCGAAGAGAAGCGTTAGCAGAGAGCTGCAGAAGGAGCCGCAGGCACATCTGAGGCACAGGGCTGCCGGTGTGGTTAGCACAGGGCTGCGATACCGACGGCCCTGCCACACAAGGCGCCACGAGCGCTGTGCAAGGAGCCGGTGCGGGCAGCCCGGCGTCCCGGGCGAGGAGGAAGGCGGTGCGGCGGGAGCGGGGCCGTGTGAGCGCTGGCGGGCGCGCTGGGGGCTGCGACAGCCGCTGTAGGTCCCCGCGGAGGCCGTGAGAGCGCCCCCATCAGGGGCACTGCCGCTGCCCGGGGCACGGAGGAGCAAGGGCAAGGGCGGCTGGCGCGCCGCCCTGCCGGTCCACAGGGAGCGGCCTCCGGGCTGCGGAGAGCGAAGGGCTCGCTCCCAGGTAGGGGGGCTGCGGCCGCGGCGGGGGAGCCCAGGTGCCGTCTACGGGGCAGCGCCCACAGCGGGCTGCCGCGCGCGTCCGCCTCCACCTGCGCCTCCGCCGCCACCCCATCCGCGGCGCTCCCACCGCGTGGAGCCCCAGTCCCGCCTTTCAAACCCGAACCCGAGCCAGCACGTCCCCTCCAGACCCAGCCTTCCTGAAGCCGCGTCCGCTGCCCGGCAGCCCGTGACCCCAAGGCCTGGTTCCCGACGCGGCGTGGGCTGCAGGGGTGCGCGCACCCCTCCAACGGGGAGGCCCCGGGTGCTCTCAGGCCTCGGGAGCCCAAAAAGGGTTCGGAGGGGGAGGCCCAGGAGGCTGCATGCATTCCCCGTGACACTCCACCTGGCGGCTGGGGACGCTCGTCGGCCGCCCGCGTGGCCCGTGCCGCTGCTGTCGGGAGAAAGCGGCCCCGGGGTCGGCAGGGCTACGACGCCTGCGGGGCGGGCCCCTGTGCCCAGGTGTGCACGGTCTTCCTGCGTGGCCGTGGCAACCCGGACCAAGGCCAGGTGCGCTGGGGCGCGAGGCTCAGGACGACCCCGGTGCACACCCTCGCGCACAAGTGAGACAATCCCCGGGCTCGGAGCCCCGGACCGGCGCTCGCGGGCCTACCTGGGCTGTGACGCCGGGCAGGTACAGGCGAGGAGTCGCACAGCGGAGACGGGACCCGGCAGCGAGCTCAGTCCGCTGGAATTAGCGGCGCCCCGCCCCCTTCCCCCTTCCCGGCGTGGAGCCCGCGGCTCCGCAGAACCAGAGGGGCGTAGCTCCAGGAGTGGGCGTGACTATAAAAGGGCGTGACCGATGAGGGAAAGGCGTGGCTATCCAGAAGGGGCGGGCCTAGGAGGAGCGGGGAGAAGGAAGGTGGGGTGTGGTTAGCCGGAAGGCGGGGCCGATGAGGGCAGGGCGGTCCAACGAGTGGGGCGTGGTTACCTGAAGGAGCGGAGTCAGGGAGGGCGGGGCGGGGCGAAAGAGGGTAGAGCGTGGTTACCAGGAGGCAGGGCCAATGAGGGCCGGGTGAGGCCAAGGAGGGCGGGGTGAGT